CAAGGAGTGAGTTTCCTGCCCCATTAAGATGCAATGGCTCACGGGTGTCATTTTTTTAAACAAGCGTAGTGTTTTGTACAACATACATAACAGTATGGCTCTAACTCACATACATCACAGATTTCCTTTCTTTTCCCCCACCCCTTCTTCTCTGTCCTTCTCTCTCTAACATCTTTTTACACTGGAAACCGCACACAGGCTGAAAAACAACAGACAAAAAAAAAAAAAGAAAGTTCTCTTTTGTTAGGTGAAATGTAATGCCCGTGAAAGGTTAAGAGACTGTCAGAATTGGAAGATGAAGTCCTCTATTCATTTCCCGGCCTGGGGCCACTAGTACAGTACAGGCATTGCCATTTTGCCCTATCAATGACCCCCTCTGGGAACAAGATACTTGTTCAGCTCCGAGCTTTTCATGCGCAAAGAGTGCACATCCCACAAACGTATGTGGGGCACTTTGTGTAACGGGGACTATTGTAAACTAGGAATTAAAGCGAAAGCAGCAGAAAGCCATTCCACCCCCACCAGCTTCTACTGGGATAACAGGAGTAAGGAGACCCCTTTTGTTATCCAAGGCATGGTGTTCTGTTTGGAATGGACGAGGTAAGCTGAACTGCCCTCAACCTGCTGCACTGTTCACCTAGTAAAGAACAAAGCTTCTTCAGCTGGCTAGCATGGGATAATGGCCTGAGCAACTCCTCCCCAGCCCTCCAGTGAAGCGGTGTTTTATTTTTGGGGCAAATCCTCCAATCCTCACAGAGTCACCAAGGCCTTGAGGTTGCCATGAGCAGTGCAGAGGTTCAAGGGATCTCATTGGAGGCCCAGGGCCCAAGTCCTCACTCAGCCCAGGCTTCCCTTTAAATCAATTGAAATCTGCATTGCAGGTGGAAAGGCATCTCACCCTTATTTGAGTGGAAGTTGCTCTCTTGTGTGTGGGCTGACAAACTGGGCCACAAATTCTCCTGAAGTTAGTGTTGTAAGAGTATAATCCCTCTAGCATCTGCGCCTTGCAAAGTATGAGCAAGTTCATAGAATTGGAAAGAACCTCAGGAGGTTCTAGTCCAACCCTGCTGCTCAAAGCAGGCCCAATCCCCAGACAGATTTTTACCCCAGTTCCCTAAACGGCCCCCCTCAAGGATTGAACTCATAACCCTGGGTTTAGCAGGCCAATGCTCAAACCACTGAGCAATCTCCCCCTCCGCTCTGTTTTTCATAGCACTACCTCATCACCATTCCAGCCATTCTTTGGCGAGACAATGCAGATTTTAAAGAGAACTAAGCAGGGAGCTGTGTACTTTTTATCCCAAAGTGAGAGAGAAAATGAAGGTGAGAAAGTCTGCAGAGTCCGAGACAGTTTGCCATTTGTTGCTTCCTAAATCCAGGAGAGAGGGGCATAGTATTACAAGAAACCGCCTGAAAAACACCAATGGGTTTGTTGGATAGATAAGCAAGTTCCTATTTCAAAGGTAGAAGCAAAACAAAGCTGGTCAAAAATTTTCATTCAAAACTGTTTTTTTCTGAAATTCGTCATTTTTTTCCCCCCCAAAATTTCTGATTTCTTGAAGAAAACACTCCCCAAACTCCCAAAACATCCAGCCTTTCTGTTGTGGGTTTTCCTTGTTCCCCAACCCAATCCTCCCTTTTTCAGTGTCAAAAGGGCAGAGGACACAAAAATTGGGGTTTGAGTTTTGAAAACTGAATAATGGTGGTTGGTTTTTTCAGCTTGAAATTTTCTGATTTTAATATGGGGAAAGCCCCTCAACATTTGTCCACAAGCCAGACTTTCCCCCTGCTCAACCAGCTCTATGAAACATATCCTGGACATGGAGGGCCTGAGTGTCAGAGGTTCTGAGTACCAGCAGCTCCCACTGATTTCAGTTAGTTGCGGATGCTCTGCACAATAAAAAAAAAAATTAAAAACATCAGGCTCTAAGTCTTGCTCTACTAATTAGTATGATTACTAATGGTCCTGCCATGAGAGGACTGGACTAGATGACCTCTTGAGGTCCCTTCCAGTCCTAGGATTAGAGGATGATACCCCAAACCAAGACACACTTGGACCTTGTGAAAGTTTGGATACAGCTCCAGACCTGCTGGCACAAGCCTATCTTTAGTTATGGTGCCAGGAAGAGTAGACAAGGTGACATCATTCACATGGTGCCTTCAAGGAATCTCTTCCAGCAGACGCCAGGCACTTTGCACAACTTGGCATTTCAAATGTTCATTGTCTGAGCAGGCTGATATGCAATTTTTCCTTTCTTCCCACTGAAATGCTGGTGGAAAGATGAAAAGAAAGGTTCCTCCTCCACCACTCTTTCTATTCACGTTTTCCCATCCTGCCTTGCACCCCAACAACCTGCTTTCTTCTCACTCATCTGCTTATGTTCTCTCCTCTCCCTCCCCTGCATTTAATGATTCCACTGGATTTAAAAAGCCTAACCACTGCTACCACTACCAAGCCAATGGTCCCTACTAGTCTGCAACAAAGACCTTGTCTATATTAGAAAGTTGCATCCGTTTAGCTAAAAATTCATCTAGATGAACTGGTGCACACCCCTCATGTAGATCCTCCTAAACTGGTGGAAATCTTGTTGATACCAATTTAGTTTGCATGGGCAATGTATCAGATTAAGCTGAAATTGATAACAGATTTGTGTGTCTACATGAGACATTTGCATGGGAAAACTGGAGCAATTTTCTAATATAGATAGAGTGTTTACAGCAGGGACCAAACCAACAGAAGAGCAACAGTACCAGTTGGGCCAAGTATGTACTTGGGCATCCGTCCCACACACCCCTTCCACCGGTTGTTTTCCTGAGCTCAGCCTCAAGTTTCAAAGTTCTTTCTTGCTCTGATTTCAGAGCACAGCCTTCCAGGCTTCCCTCTGGCTCAAGCCTCCCCATAGTTCTGGTTCCAAGCCTTCTAGGCATCTCTTAGCCTTTAGCCCAAGACAGGGCGCTCTGATCTACCTTTCTCCTGAGTCTTCTCCCTGGCCTTCCTCCTACTGCGCTGTGCTCCTTTCTTTATGAAAATCCAGCTCCTCCCCAGTTGAGTTTGATCATCAGCTGGGCCTAACACCCCTTCAGATCCCAGTCAGGAGCCTAATTTGCTCCTGCTTAACCCACAGTTAACCGGTGTGGGGTTTGGCTGTCCCATCACTAGCCCCCAGTGTTTGGGGATGAGAAGGTCTGGAGGTGTTGAACTAATTGATTTCTACTGCAGTACTGAGCGTTAGATTGTGACTCCTTTAGCCCCACGGTGAGCAGAAGCATCATGCAAGTAACTACTCCCCAGTCGGGTAAGGGGTGTACTATCCGGCCCTTATTTATTATTTGCTTTAAACACCCACCGGCTCAGGACTGAAGCCCCGCTGCGCTAGAGGCTGTACAAACACATAGGAAGGCAGAGCTCCTTTCCCAAAAAGTTTTGCCGTCTAAATTGAGACAAGATGCAACAAGCGAGCACGATGAACCAGAGCAGGAGAGAGCAAGGCTGGGTGAGGCTTGTAATAATAAGATTACATGGTTATGTTGGTTACACCCAGCTTGCGGGGCCCAAATTATCTTTTATTTTACATTAATGAATGAGGGTAACTTGGTTGGCTGCCATGGATGCAGGCTCGGTCTGTCCATTTTAGGAAATGCTCTGGCTCGTCTCCCCACCAAGCGTTGTAATGAAGTCACACTAGTCTGCAGACCCAATGCAGCAGAGAGCCAGGGATGCACTTCTTTGGCAGGTACCAAAATGTATTCACTTTCCCAGATTTCCATTCCTGTGCTCACCAGCTCTCACGAAAGGACAGTGGCAGATGGCTCTGACGTGCGTCGGGCTTACACCCAGCAGGCAGGAAGCTGATTGAACAGATCCTCTGCCAGCTAATGTCAGCCAGTGCCACTTCACAACCGGCCACGCCTCTCCCCGCTCCCCTACACAGCCAGCTTGGTGAGGGCTGCTGGCAAAAACAACAGATGAAACCCCCATGGATCCCTGTTCCCCAGAGTGCTCCTCCGCGGCGTTAGCGGCACACCTCACGAGTTCTAAGAGGGCGGCTGTGCCCCACTCTGATGGGGTTCAGAGACTCAGTCAGCAGGAACCTCCATGGCCATTTGCAGCACCATTTTGTCGGGGGATTATGCCATGCACGGCAGCTGCTCCCCATTCTGGGTGGCCTGGTGTCTCTTGGCTGTATGATCTTCCTGACGCATCTGGGATACTGCTGCGTAGCTACATGGGCCCTGGAAAGCCCGCCCAGGCCTCTCTCGATCGGAATTACAGCCGGGAATGTTGATTCTCCATCCAAATTCACCGAAGAGCATAAGGTGTGTGGGGGTAGCGGTTTATATGGCATGAGTTAAGATTTGTCGCCTAGCTCAGGAACGGCAGGGAAAAGCAGACCCACAAGTCATTTCTGCGATTTTCCTCCCTTCAAGTGCAATCCTTTGTTTAAGCCTCCCCCTTGTCTTCTGTGGTTTATTTATAGCAGGTGCCACCACCTTTTCCTTCTTAAGTGAACGCTTGCAGTGCTTTCAGAGCTGCAGAAAGCGAAGTGCTGCAGTCAGGACAGGCACAGCACGAGGAGGGCAGGGCAAGTTTCCCCTCATGCCGCCACCTGCCCTTTGGAAGGACCTTTGTCTTGGGTAAAAGGCAGTTTGGTCTCCAGGGTGCATTCCGGCTTTGGACTCTGAGCTACAAATGCCAGCTTAGTACCAGCTATTAATTGATGGGGTGTTTTTCTTACTTATCATATTTTAATGCGCGCAGAATAAACAGAAGCCTGGAGAAGAGCACTAAAGACAGAAATAAAAGCCAAACCCCTGTCAGAGGAATCCATGCAAATGCAAACTACAGAGAAGAGCTGGTGTACAGCTCTGTTAACTCATCATTCTGGGGTGAGGAGCATCAACCTTGCAGAAAGCCAGCCCTTAGCATGGCTGTGACTATCCCAATAAGAGGGCCATCAAAGCGCCACATTTTCTTAGTTTGTTTCTTCTCTTAAATGCAGGATTTCTTCCACAAAAGCTGAGTGAGACCAGTCATCGTTTGCTTGTGAGCGTGTCAGGCAAGCAGCATACTTCTCTAGTGCTAGACAGGGCCTCACTTCAGCCTGAAAGAAGAAAGAGAATGGATGACGGGGATGTATGCAGCCAAGGGGGTGGAACGCAGAAGATGATGTCGGGGGTATGTGTTCCTTTTTGGTGACGTGGGCATGGGTGTCCAATGTGAGACCATCACAATATATTTCAAGTGAACCCCAATAACTAAACCGTAATGACTTTGATCACTACTGAGCTAGGCTGTATATGAACTTATGACTTACAAGTGAAAAATTGCATACAACAGTGATGAGTGGTAGATAAGAAACTACTGAGGTGGATAGATAGATTAGAGAAATTAGTATGCAGGATGAGAGATAGATTCAATAGGTATGTATGGTTATAGCAAAATGGATTGGGGTAAGGTAAGACCTCCCTATTAATCACTGAGCTCCCCCATGCCATAATGTAGAGAGCCACTCTGCAGAGGCTGGGAATAAGGTAGGAAGATTGTGACTTTGCAGACACAGCCAGCAGTTGCTAGAATGACAATCTCAGAAAAGCAGCTGGGGAAATCAGGGGTCTCAGACACAACCTCCCGGTCATCACTTACACAGATTAATGCAGTCACCCTCTTGGCACATTTCAATGGCACTTTTCTTCCTTCTTGCTGGAACGTGCCAATTCTAAAGGGGTGGATGCAGTTTGTAAAGCTGCCATTTTGATTTATTATCCACACCAGATGAAACCGTTTGAAATTGATTTTGGTTTTCCTTGCCCGCAATGGAGCGACGTTCAGAAGAGAAGGAGAAGTTTGTTTATGACCTGAAAAATCAGTAAAATGAAAAGTACCGAGACTCTAGTTACGTCAGACGCTTATATAGTCTCCCTTCAACGTGTTTTACAAGCTCAGTCCCCGATGCAGCAATAAGACCCCTGGATACTTGGATACCCCTGGATACCAATATATGGACCCCTGGAACTTGTGGGTGCATAGAACTGCCTTGAGGTTCTCTCTGCAGGATCAAAGCATAATTTATGAATCCCTATAACACCCCTAAGGTAGTAAATAAGCATTAACCCTGTATTACAGTTGGGGAAACTGAGGCAGGAGGCTAAACAACTTAGTCACGGTCACAGAGGGAGTTCCTGGCAGAGAATACAGAAGTTACTGGTACCCAGTTCTGTGCATTATGTTTGAAAAATCTCTTAAGCATGAATAGTCTGCTCAGTGCTTCCCTCAGACTTGCCATGATGATATCCTCGGTCTGATTGGTTTAAAGGTTATTTCAAAGGAATTTGTAACTATCAAGTGAAAAATCCTAGTTCCAGTAAAGCTGTCAGAAAAAAAATCCACATAAAACGGTGACCATTTTAAGCATCACATATTTTCAATGCCATGAACCTACTGTGAGTCACCTCAGGCTGCTTGGGTTTGTGGAAAGAGCTCAGAGAAAGCCCAAGTATGGTCCTTTTGGTGATTTTTTTCCGTATTCTCTCTCTTTACTGTGACCTCATTTGGAGTATTTTAAGAGCTAGATCCAGCCCGATGCCATGATACTCCGGGTGAGCAGGGATAGCGCAGAAAGACTGCAAGAGGCAGATGCTGTCATCAGCTGTCAAGAGCAGCACTGAAAGATGTGGAACACTGAGAGTGTTTAACTTGGCTAAGCCCTTGTGTACACTGAGGTTTTTTGCACCCTGCACCAGCACAAACCACTAAGGTACAGGCAATGCTCTGGGGCCTGGCACGGATCCATCTCATTTCAGTTTCAAAGCGGGGTGATTAGCTGCATGTGTGGAAGTCATGTTTTACCCCAGTGCAGCACAACGATGTGACACTCCCTGAGGCACCTCACCACTACCTGCCCTCAGCATGAAGGGTCTTGCCAGTGCCTGCTGAGCATCAACTCTCTGAACCTGCCAGCCCCAGGCTGCACTAGCCCTGCCTTCCCGGCCCCCGCAGGCCTCACTCTCCCTGGACAGGTAGTGACAGGCACACACCCACTCCCCCGAGCCCTCGGAGCCTTCCCTGCAGTGTCCAGCCCTCCTTTTCTACTGATGGCACTCAGAATTACCAGCCCGGCTGTTCCCAAAGGAGAAGGATGCACCAGCTTGTAAGAGTCCACTCCAGACCAGCATTTGGCTTAGCACCACAGCACTGAGATACATTTATAGTGAAAACCAGAATAAGTTGATTCTTAAACAACAGAGAGTCAAATGATAGTGAATAAGGATACTGGAAATAAATGGCTACATGTAAAACAAAATCATAACTCATTTTCTCAAGACTAAAAATAACGAACAGGTTAACCTTTGGCGTAAAGAAGCTTCTCACCCAAAGATCTCTCCAGTGTTTTCAATCAAGCCTGGCTGAGACCCCTGCTTTCATGAAGCAAAACTGCTGTCCTATTATTTCCTCAGTGAAGGGTGTCAGCACACACACCCTCACACACACAGTTTTTCTCTTCCCGTTCGTTTCTTTCTGAAGTCCCACAATCCTTCATTTGCATTCAGTTCAGACTGGGCATAGGAGACCCACTGTGAATGAGACAATACTCAGTTTACATGTAAATAGATACACATTTCTCGACAGACAGGAAACCTGCTTTTCACCTTTGCTAATGACCTAGACACAGACTTTAAGAAGAGTCAGTATACACATACATAAATTCTTTACACAGTATCTGCACAGACATTTCACAACGATATTGATGATCAGAGCGGCACAGGCGTTTATTCAAGACCTCATGTGACACTCTTTGGCGGAGCTAAAATGTAAATCCCGGAGTCAGAAGAGGGAGGGATATTTCCCAGGGAATTCCTTACTGCTAAATGATGCACTAGCACTTGGCTGAGCCCTCAAGGGTTAACACATTGTTGTTACTGTAGCCTCACACTCTACAAGGCAGCACGAATGGAGGGAGGGGAGACAGCATGGCAGTCAGAGACAGAGAGAGAGAGAGAGAGAGTTGCGCATTGCCCCTTTAAGTACGCTGACCCCCACTCTAAGTATATTGCCTTTTTAAGTAGATCAGCAAGTTGAGACAGCAGCTGCTGCCAGCAAACTCCCTCCATCCTGAGTCCTGCCGTGTGCCCTCCCCCGCTCTGTGGAGATGGGGTACAGGAGTGGGGGGCATGAGCTGGGGGAGGGGTCACCCGGACATTAGCCCCCCTCTTCCTACCCCTTGCACAGCAAGTAGGAGGCTCCTGGGAGCAGCTCCAAGGCAGAGGACAGGAGCAGCACAGGGCAGTGGTGGGAGGGACAGCTGAACTGCCGGCAATTGATAGCCTGCTGGGCGGCTGCCGCACAGGGAATTTGGGGGTGCAGGGAGCTGATATGGGGGCTGCCGGCCCACCCTGGCTCCAAGCCCCCACCAGCTAGCTACCAATGGGCTGCTCTTCCTGCAAGCAGTGGACAAAGCAGGTGTGACGAAGTGGGACTGTTCTTAATGTTTCCTCTGAATACTGTGTGGGTGCCTCAGGTTCTGGCCGACCCTCTGTCGCCTAGCAACTAATGGCCGGGCCCTTCCCCGCTGCAAGGGGATGCTAAAGGTGTGGGAGAACAACAAGGTCAGGTGACCTCCTGGCCCCGGAAAGAGACAAAGGCCAGAAAGGAGGGGCTGGAGGGGGGTTTTCAGTTTGGAGCTGGCTGGGGACTAGGAGTGAGGGCAGACGGGGGGGTGCCCAGCTCGCTGCCCCCCAGGATGGACCTGGCTGAGGGATCCCGTTCACTGTACCCACAAGCTCTGTTTTAGACCGTGTTCCTGTCATCTAATAAACCTCTGTTTTACTGGCTGGCTGAGAGTCACGTCTGACTGCGAAGTGGGGGTGCATGCAGGTCCTCTCGCTTCCCCAGGACCCCGCCTGGGCGGACTCGCTGTGGGAAGCGCACGGAGGGGCATATGCTGAATGCTCCAAGGTCAGACCCAGGAGGTGAAGCCATGTGAGCTTCTTGCCCTGAAGACAGTCTGCTCCATGGGAGAGGAGGCTCCCCAAAGTCCTGACTGGCTTTGTGGGGAGCAGTTCCAGAGCATCGCCCGGGGACTCCATGACAGCAGGTGGCTGCCAAACGACGTTATAAGGGAGCATTGCACAACTTTAAAGAAGCGTGTTCTCTAATTGATCAGCCACGTAACAATGAAACAACGTTAAGCGGGACGATGTTAAGTGAGGAGTTACTGTAATTTATTTAGGTAGGGTTGTTTTTTTGCGGACTCAATAACAAAGATAATGCTGTGAAAAGTGATATTTGTATGTTTAATATCACTTTTCACAGCACACTTGTTAGCTAGCTGGGAGGCTGTGATAAGTGATGTTAACAAACATACATCACTTACAAATGACTTACTAGCTAGTTGGGAGGCTGTGATGAGAAATGATACTTGCCGGTTTGTTAATATCACTTTTCTCAGCAAGCCCCAGGACAAATTAACCCCTGGATGGGCGGGTTGGAGGGGGAGGTAGCAGGGCCAGGGGTGAGGGGTGGGTGGCAGTGAGCCCCGCTGCCATGCAGTTGGACTCAGGGGTCAGTGCCTGGTGCCGTGTGGTCAGGAGTTGGCACACGCTGCTGCGCAGCTAGGGCCGAGGGTCGGTACCGGGGGCTGGAGCCCTGGACCAGAGTGGCTGGAGCTGGGGGTCAGCACCCACTGCCATGCGGCTGGAGCCAGGAGTCGGTGCCCGAACCCCCGTGGCCAGGCTCCCGAAGTCCTGCTGCTGTAGCCTACCCTCCAACCACCCCCGGGCTGAAGTCCAAGCCCTACGGCCCCTTTCCTCCCCCCAAGGTGGGTCGAGATCTCACTTTGCTCCTTGTGCCCCGCCTGTCTCCAGAGGTGGTGCAGGGCAGCGCATCCAGGAGCAACAGGGAGGGAGGGGGCAGGGCCGATGCTTCGCCTCCCCCCACCCATCACCGCCCAGGAGGCTGTCATGGCTGCACAAAAAGCCCATGAGATACTGCTCAAGTGGCAGGCCTTGGGAGCCCACGTATTTAGCAGGGGGAAGGGTTCTAACGATCCATAGGGAAGGGCACCCCCCAGGTCCGTGGAGACAGGAGCCGTGCCGCGTGGATGGCTGCCCCTCTAACTCCACTCGCTCCATCGGGAGCCAGGCTGCAATTCGCTGAGTCCTGCAGCTGCTCCACCGCAGCCCCAGAGGAGGCAGCTGGAACGAGCGGCAGCAGCAGCCGCAGCTCCCAGTGGAATTTCCACATGCAAATCTGCTCGCTCCGCAGAGGACGGTGCCCGGCTCCATCCCCAAAGCCCCACAGAGGGAAGACCCCCTACAGAGGTCCCTACAAGGCCCCAAGGAAGGAGGGATGGTGCCACGGCGATGCTATTCCTCCCTTCCCGCAGGTTTCCATCTGCACAATACAGATCAGAAATGTAACGAATGAGGCTCTACCAAGTGAAGCTAGGCCCTGAACCAGAGCACACTGAGGTCAATGGGAGTCTTTGCATCGACCTCAATGGGTTTTGGACTGGATCCACAAATCTTGCATTTCTGACTGCAGGCAAAATGCCGTAGGTGTCCCAGGGTGCACCGTTGGGCCAGAGCAGAGAACAACGTGAAGACAAGCATTTTCATACACCCGTGAGTTTCCCCCTGGGCCACTGTCCTTGAGCCTCACACAGGATGGAGGTTCACCGTAGGGCAGTGTGATGCGGTGCTCTATTCACTGCACGTAGAGCGCCTCCTCCTGGCCGTTCTGGGGAATAGCTCACCAGGTCAACACCTCTCCCTGCGCTTGTCTCTTTGTCTGCAGCCTCTCTCACGCTCCAGCAGCCTCTTCATGACTCAGCCCTCGGGCTAGGTCATTATCATGGTTTGAGGGGAGAGGAAAGTGTCTCCTCCCAAACAGACTCAGGCAGTCTTCCTAGGCACTGCCGTGCCGGTGCCACTTCCCCGGTGGCTGGTTGGGGAACCTG